GGAGAGGACTCAGAATATATCAGAAAAACAGAGTGACATTAGGAGTGAATTGTGTATTAGCCTAAAGAATTGTTAGAGATAGACTAGAGTTAGAGTGTTACCTACAAAAGATCAATAAAGAGAGTTATTTTACCTCCCTATAAGACCATCAAGCAAGTTACCCCGGACAACAAATTGGAGTGGGACGCGTTGCGGAGCGGAGAAGTACAAGAAATCTCCTAGGGTGCGCCTTGCTTTCCACAGCGGGTATCCGGGTATCCCAAGGGATACCCGGTGCCAAGAGGCCACACCGCCGGGAGGAATCCCTCCCGGCAAGCTGGTTTTTAAACCAGCTCGTCGGGAGGGGTTCCTCCCAATGAGCTTGGTGCCAGCTTGTTGGGAGGGGTTCCTCCCAGCGAGCTGAATTGTGTACCAGATCGTTGCGGGAGGAATCCCTTCCAACAAGATCGGAAGGGATTCCTTTTGACAAGCTGGTGTATATACCCTCTAATTGGGAGTAACCCCTCCCAACAAGCTGGTACATAGACCAGCTCATCAGAAGGGAGTCCTTCTGACAAGCTGGTTTAAAGACCGGCTTGCCGGGAGTAACCCCTCTCGGCGAGCTGGCATGTAGACACTCGCCAGGAGGGGTTCCTCCTGACGGTTCGGCCTCTGCCTCTCTAGGTCAAGGGCCGGGGGTGGGGTTTTTTCTTTTCTTTTTTTTTTTTTTGAAAAGAAATCCCACTCTGCTGCAAGAATATCCTTCCAGTTGGCGATGGTCAACCAGTAAAAGGGCGGGTATCCATGGATACCCGCTGTGGCCAACGGATACCCACCAGTGGATGCAGATGCAGATCCGGATGCCTGATTCCGCTGAAAAAGAGGTTGGATATCTGCATCCACATGGGTATCCGGACGTGGCAGGGCCATCTCTAATCCAGATTTTGATGTGGAGGTTTTTGCCGGATTCTTTGGGCTGAAGTTGACACACCAGCAGCGATTTGAGTACTTTTTATGGTTCACTGCTTTTCACCTGGCTCAAAAAGGTAACAATCACACCCAAAAAGTGTAGTTTTGCTGCAAAAAGCACAGCATGCACTGTACTTAACACTGTGAAAATA